TCAATTTCCGAAAATGTTACCAACGTTTGTCTGTATTTGAGCTCAAACACTTGTTAGCGTACGTTTTAGCAAAGCGGATACAAAGTCCGATTATTAATCACACTGTTTTCATAATGTTAGATACAAAGATCAAAAACTGCAAAGAATAGTTCACAGAGCATTTGACATCACATTCCAACTTCATTTTGTATACTTTAGCCATTAAACCGAAAGTTTCAGTCAAACTCATCACCAAACCAAACCAAACCATGCCATTAACATTATCTTGGATACCATTTTTGTAAATCAGCAAGACGAACAATGATTCCGATGTGGAGAAACTAAGACTGAAAGAGGGTCGTTACAAGAGAAGGACTTAGCCAACACCGACGGTTAAGAGATTGGAGCATTGCAGTCCACCGTCGACTCCAAACTCCATCGGACCAGGGAGCCGATCCGGACCGACTAGTCCAAACAAACTAAGTGTGTTTTAGATTAGAAACCCGAAAATATTGTGCAAAAAGGAAAATTTAGACCCTAAGAAGGAGGAACCAAGGAGCAAATATGAAAGCCTCTTTAGTCAAAAAAAAAAAAATTACAGACGTGATTATTTGTAATTGCCATAATTAGACTATTCATTTGCTGGTCTAGCTAATTACTCATGTTTTGTGTCATCAAAATCTCAAATACAGTTTCTAAGTTCTTCTTGTAGTGTAAGTTTGTAGAAAAAAATCATGACAATCGTATTGAAATTGTATACTAACGAAATTACAAAAAGAAAAAAAACTAATTATTCAAAGTCAAAATTTGCGTGCAGAGATAAATATGAGAAATAATGTATTTACTATTCAGCCATCCACAAGAAAAACTCGGAAAGGAAAGTCTCGAATTCAAACACCTATAATTGGAAAAGATATAATTAATCTCCTATATGATCTCGAGTGCGAAGAGATTATGGCTTAAATCTGAAATTTCTTGATTAAAAAAGAACAGTATCAATGCCAAATATCACCGTGAACAAACTGAGGTGGTTCATTTCTACGATAGATTTTAAGATATTAAGAAAATGCAATTACTGTTTGGGAAAGAAAAAGCAAGAAAATGAGCCACTTCCTCTACTGGATATGACTGGTCTTCATGACTCACTTCTCCATTTGGTTCAACCACGCAAAAAAAAGTTATAAAAAAAGAAAAGAAATAACAAAATCAACATGATTTGCCGGAAACCCCTAAAAGTCCGCCATTGATGCCGGACGCGTACAGTTCTCTCTCTACTCCTATTTCTTCTAGGGCTGGTATCTGTCGTTCAAAGCCACACTCTCTCTCACTAGGGCTTTTAATTAGTAGGGTATGAAAAGAAATAAAAGGAAGCAATTTCGGTTTAATTAATTTTGCAGTTTCTGTGTCTCATTCTCTATATATCAGTCTGAATCTGTATAACAAGTACATTTGTGGTCGGATTTTTTTGGTTTTTTTGTAATAACAGTCAAAGTTCTGGTTTCTCACTACCCAGATCTAGGGTTCTATTTCTTTTTCTTTTCTTTCTGGTAACTCAGATCTAGGGTTTTTTGCTTCCTTCATCACTTTTTCATTTTCTTCTAATTTTTTTATATTAATTTCTTCTAATTCTTGTTTCTATCATTAGGGTTTTATTACAGCCTTGCCTAATAATAAACTTCACCTGCTCATACTTGCATGGCATTGAGAGCAAAATAACTTGCAGATCTGTTTGGTTCTTGTTTTGTTTTTTCTTTCCTCTTAACAGATTTTCTTTTATTGATAAGGAAATTGATCCCTTTTTGAGTTCCAAATTAACAGACTTATGGCTTCTCCACACTCTTAAAAGATAAATTAATTAACTAATTTGGGGTTTTACTTAAATGATGGTATTTCTTTTAATTCTTAACAATTACTATTCGCCGCGTTGTTTTTTATTTTTAAATATTTGTGACCTATTGTTATTTATTTTGTTATGAATTCCATAAAATATATATACGTTAAGTGTTAATTAAAAAAAATTATTTATGTTTTCTTTATTTTCATTTGTGACAAATATAGTCATGGGGCCACGTTTTGCTGTTCTTCGCACATAGTCGATTTCTTTCTTTTTACTTTTTCTTATTCCATCTTTTCCTCAAAGAATAATGTAACATTATGGTTTAGGAATCCTCTGAGCTTCCTTCTCATCATACTTCAATCATATTTTTCTCTATCACTAGTGTTTTGCTTGTTTTAAAACAATCGTACTATATTTACTATTAATTACTAGGCATGTTCAAAGTTAAGGGAAAAATACTTTTGATCAAATTATATTTTCATTTGTTTTGTTGCCTGGAGTCTAAATAGCTGCATTCTCATTGTGCTTTTATGCTTGGCATTCAAATTCGCATTATTTTATTAGTATAGACATGTTTTTGTCGACTAATTGATATAATATAAACATAAACATATGTTTTTGTCGATTAGTTGATGTAATATAAATATATAAGACATTTACAATGATAGTACGTCACGAAATGCTAAAAAATTATAAATTATTTTTAGTTACATAAATAATGTTTTTTATTCTTTTGTATTTATTCATTTTTAACTTTTTGTCAAATGTCTCTTATATTCATATTAACATAAGAGACATTTTATAGAATTTCATTTTAATTATTTTTAATATATTGTCATATTGTAAAGTGACATTTCATTTTTGAGACCTCTTTTAGTCCTCCTCTCCCCTATTGTTTTCTCTTACTAATTATTTAGCATCCAAAAACAATTAAAGTAAACTTTACGTTCCAAACAAAACATAAAATCTCTTTCCCCTATATTGTCTTTAATGTTTGGCATTAAAATCTCTTCCCCTATATTGTTTTTAATGTTTGGCATTACTAATGTACTTTTCGTGTGTGTTTTCATGTTTGGCATTGCACTTCACATGGCTTTAAAAATACAAACATATGTTTTTTCTATTTGATATAATATAAGAATATTTGTACCCAATGACCAAAAACTGTATGTAAATTCAAAATTAACATGAAAATATATATAAATGTCTACTTGTTTTCTTCTTGGCGAGTTTTGACAATATACTATTTATTTACCTGTTACAATACATGTAAGTTTTATTAAGTAACATATTGTTATTATGTGAGCTATAGATTGTTAAATGGAAGTTAAGGTTTTAAATTTAGGAGTCTCCCACATAAAACAATATATAACATATTCCTTCTTATAACAATTAAATGAATGGTAAAATTGGGATAATAAATTATTAATTTGGTCTAATCGTACTTGTGTTACTAATTTTTAGGAAACTATAAATAATTTTTGATACTTTTTTTTTAATTGCCCTTGTCTACTACTTCGTTTTGTTCTCTATCTTTTGCAAATGTCTTTTTACTCATTTAACCTAATTTTCTATATCATAGAATTTCATTCTAATAAAAAAAATTATGTTTATCATTCATATTCCTCCCTCAAAATTGACAGGTCGTGTTTGGGACTCTCCTAATCCCTTCTTACACTGTATAATCTATCTTCATTTTACTAATTACCCACGAGCCAAATAAATGCAAATTAAACCAAACTTTACATTCCAACCAAAAACACAAAATCTATTATCCCATATTGTCTTTTAAGTTTGGCATTAATTAGCAACGTACTGATCAGTGATCATATGAGACATTTCAAAAATGTCGTGAATCATAACTTTTTAGAAAATTGCGAAACAAATTCTAAATATCAATTAATCTAATCTCGGTATTCGAAATTTATTCAATCTATCTAGTGTATTGTATTTCTGCATCTGATATTTTAGAGTCAACATCTCGGGTATCAGATGCTTACATTTTTTTCAATAAATATTTTATTTATGATAAATGACGAAAATTTCTGAGGTTGTAGATATTTTAGTAGTTTTTTTTCTTCTTATAGTGTTCTTATTGCTGTGGGTTTTTAGGAGCCATAAGACAAAAAAAAAAAGTGGGGAGCCAAGCCAAGGTACACAACAAAAGCTAATATATATATATATATATATATATATATTATGCATTTCCAAGTGTGAAGTATGGTGAGAATGGTCTGAAGCTCAGAGCTGTGTAAATTGGATTATTTAAAATTTATACGCCGGAGTACAACTACGGAACTGCCTCAACCATTCAAGGTTTGACAGCAAATCATTCAAGTGGCACCGAATCAAAGTGATCGACTTCTTGTTGAGGCTATCAAACTGGTGTGAGAAATAATATTCTTTTAGCATAAAAACGAAACACGTACAAAGTCATTGGAACAAGCTTGTATATTTTGTCAAGGCATATAATTTATTCTGATAACAAAAGAATAGTGTGAACTGTAGCTCTAAACCAGTTTAACCACCGCGGCGAGGAGTCTCAAAACCGAAATTATACATTCTTTTCTACTTTATTCATAATCGTACTTTTGGGATGGTAGCTCTATTCAAAAGTACTAGGGATGTTTCTATCTGTAGCTCTATTTAAAAGGACTATAGATGATCAGTAAGTAATTATAGTTTGGGGACATAATAAATCCTTTTTGGAGTACACTAACACCCCTAATTAAGTAATATCGGCTTATCACAAAAGAAGTAACTTACTAGTCCCAACTCCCAAGACATTTTGATTTATCAGAGCAGGTGTTATATACAAAGGACAAGGCAAATTATATTATTTAAATAAAAATATTATTTTTAAATATCGTCTCTGAGTAATATATTTAAACACATATACGAACTTGTGTGTAAATACAAACCCACTTATGCATAAGAGTGATCACAAGCCTTGTTATTAGTTGTTGCATCTTATTATGTAATTAATAACCTACAAAGGTTTTGAAGTTCTTGATTATGACTTAATCGACTACTAGAAATGACGTTTAGGACTCATAAAGGAATATCATTAGAGAGTGAAAATGAATTAAATCATGAAGAATAATTTTTTTTTTTTTCATCAATTTGTCACATCTTTGTTTCTTCTTATTAATTTTTATATTCCTAAAGGCAAACGATAGACTCACTCAACACACATATATCAACAAAAAGGCGTTTAAATGCTATACATATCATAGTCAAGGTTCCACTGGAACTAGAAAAACAAAATATCATACAAAGGAGTTGGTTAATCTTACATCGATTTAATATGTGACGCTAAAATGAAGAAGAAAACGGCTTCATATATCCACTTAAGATTCAAATATACCTTTTGACAATTTATTATTAATTTGAGACATTAACGGTGGTAAGTCGATATCAACACATGTTATGGTAGTTGTACATGAGGTCTCTAACTGGTTTCCCCAAGAAGTGATGAAGATCCGTAAACTGATTCTGCTGCTGCAAGGTACATAACCATACAAATAAGTCGATGAAAGTTGGCAAATACATAATATCAATTAGTCAATTAAAATAAACGGTGCCTTGAATCTTTGATGTGGAACTATATGATAGTAATTAATAACCAACCCACAAAAGATCAAACCAGCTCCTAATCTAACTATATAACATTAAATAATTGATGTTGATACAATGGTGATATTAGATTTATAAAACTTGAATTTACTAGAAACCAAAAATAAAGAAGAGTTCAAGGTACCTCTATGGAAGTAGCTGCGCCTTGGCTGCGATGGTGATTAAGCATTGGAAATGATGAATTCAATTTGTTGATCATATCATAGGATTCGTCCGAAATGTGATCCTTGTTATCCACCACAAATTCGTTGCAAACTGCAAAACGATCGTTCTTGGAAAGTTGTTCGTTCTCATCTTGGCAGGGCGTCGCCTCAAAAGAACTCCAATTCACACTGGTTTTATTATTCTTTACTATCTCACCATGATGATTATGAGTTTCTTCTTCTACAACATGTTCTTGTGATCTTCTCTTCATCATCTTCTCCTTTGTCCTATCCTTTGCTCTCTCTCTTGCTTTTGCTCTTTCGTCCTTAGACAACTTCTTCAAAATGGGCGTGCGCGGTTGCGACATCTTTCTCTTCCCTCTCATCGATCTCCCATTCACCTTATTTCCTCTTGGTTCTAATTATGTAAACCGATCGATGAAATTATAATTTGTAAAAAAAATTAGAAGTTTCCTCTTTTCTATAACTATTTGATATTGGAACTATATAATTGCAAAACAGTAGGCAACGGTTAAAGTACGTACCGGTCGTGTTAGTATTGCTGCCTCTATCCTCAACTGTCCACATGGATGCAAGTTCGCATAGATCAGACGATGTGTTCATTGATCCTAACTCCGGTCCTTGATTAGTTTCGAAAGTTACAATTTCAGATTAAGCATGAAGAAGATCACAATATTTCGTAAAAGATCGAAACTTTATAGACTTAAAAAGACTAGAAAAGAATTGTATATTTACGGGTTTGAGACTCCTCGCCGCTGCTAAAGCCGCCGTGGTTAAACTGGTTAGAAAGGCTGTGCGCGATCTTTATGATCTCAGGTTTGGCTTGTGTGAGCAACCATTCGACGGTTTTGCTGGCTTTGTCGAATCCAAGCATGTCTTGTAAGCCGAACAACTCTTTGGCGACATCTAGTGAGAGTCTCATCCTACGGTCTCGTGTCCCTTTGGCCGTTTTGATCTTGCTGTGCCTGTCCGTTCTGCTTGGTTTCTTGATTTTTTTCATTTTGGGGTCTTGAGAAGTTGAGATTCTCTGGGAATCTTCTATGTGGGTTATGGTCTCCGAGGGCTCAACGACTTGAGATTCTCCAATAGGGTCTTTCAAGGAAAGAAGTGATGGATCATGATGGTCAGTGGTGGTGATGGTTTGGTTATCGTCATGGCCATTGTTTTGTGGGAGGAAAGAGGCGAGGAGGGCGAAATCCGGGACGAATTCGAATTGAGAAAAAGGAGAGGGTGCTTGTAGGAATTGTTGTTGTTGATGATGATGATGATGATGATGGTGGTCAAGATGACTGTTTGATGTGTTAAAGTTGTTGGAGTGAATCAAGACGTCGTTAATGGAAGAGGAAGGGCTAAAAGGGAGTAATGGTTCTGAGGAATAATTGTCATTATAAGGGAATAGCATGTAGTCTTCATTGATGGTGGTAGTACTACTGAAACTGTTGTTGTTCATGTCTTATTGGGGGAGTTTGAAGCAACAAAATTAAATTAAAAAACCCTAAAACAAATTTTTGAGAATGACACTTGTACCCAAAATCAATTCACACGCACCAAAAAAGAGAAGAAAATGAGAGAAAGCATAAAATCAAAGAGAAGATTACTGTTCCAATGACGAAGACAATCAAAACTAGGAATAAAAGTGTTTTTCCTTAGCCTGCGAAATCAAGAAAAATGAAAGAAAGAACAGTAATACTGATTAGTCAAATAGTACAATATGTCTTTGTTCAAGAGAATCTATGTGTTGTGACTAAATGTGTAGAGAGAGAGAGAAAGAGTACCTTTATTGAAGTAAAGGACTAAGGGTTGAGAAAGACAACACAGACAATGTACTTAAATGTGTCTATGTGCTATGAATTAGAATGGAGAAAGGGAAAGAGAGAAAGAGAGAAAGAGAGAGAGAGAGAGAGAGAGAAATTTAAGGGAGAGCTATAGAGAGAGGCAGAGAGATATCATAATGGGGGAAGGAACAACATATCTATTCGGAGGAGGGTACGCTTTTTGAAGAGGAATTTATTTTCTTATTTTTTACTTAATTTTTTTTTTTGGGGGGAAAGAAAGATATATTCGTATTGTTTTTGAGAAAATGTGATAATTGGTTACCGTTTTATTTGGTTATAAGGATTGTTTTAATAACTATAGGACCTTGCCTTTGTTTATGTTCTTAGATTTCTTTGAGATACTATATTATATAAGTTTTTTTTACAAATTAGTTAAGAACTATCTCAAATCAAATTTTCATAGATATTTTTTGACAGCTATATATCAACATATTAAAGATTATATATTAAATTTATTTTTTGTTATCAAAATAATATAAAATTTTATGAATTCCATAGGATATTTTGCAGTTTGGGCTAGTTTTGTTTGTTGACACATGTTTTTTTCATATATCTGATGATTATATTAATCTTTCACAATAATTGAAATGGTCTATGTTTAAATAAAAAAAATTAATGTAAAATTTTGGTCAGATAAATTCTATATCAACTTAGTTATATCATTTAACATAATTAGTAAACAAAGATAAATATATAATAAATTGAATAAAAAAAGGAAGACAATGAGATCTAGTTCCAATGAAAATTACAACTAATAAACAATAGATATAAAGTTCTGTTTGCATAATAAGAAGATACAATTTTGAAAAGTTGGATACAAATAAATGAAAATAATTAAAGTTTCTCAGATATGCAAAAGTTGGGAATATAAAGTTCTGTATATGTCTTTATTTAGAAAATGATTTAAAGGAGAGATTGATTAGTTTTGAATAATATTGTAACCAAATCTTTTAAATGATTTGAGTTTTGATAAGTTTTATGATTTTAATCAGTAAAAAAAATTAGTATGGATTTAGGGAAGTTTTATTTTATGTTTTGCTATTAATTTTTTTGAAATATCACTTTTTGTCAAAGCTTTTGAAACATCACTTAAAACCATTAAATTTTTGTATCTTTATATATTAAACTTAACAATCCTATGAAACATCTTTGCCCCTCATTAGAAATGGTAATGTCTTAAATATTTTCAATAAAATAATAGAATACTTAAATGTATTTATTTCTCCAGATCATCAGTGAAATGGCCTTAGATTTGAAGATAAAATTATAAATTAAAAAATCAATAAAACAAAATTTTAATTTTTGAAAAATTCATAAGATTTTTTATGTTAACGAAATTGACTCCAAATGTTCGATATAATACACATACTAAGAACATTTTTACATGTGGTATTTCTAAAATCATTTGTAGCAATTGGATAAGCAACATACTGTTCTAACAGATAGATATATCAGGTAGTTTTTGAAAAAGGGCAGTTCCTTTTGCTTACGTCGACTTATTGGAATCCAATTGAGTTCAAATAGCAAAAATGACGATAGTATTGTTCAGTGGAATTACTTTTGCAAGTATGTAATACACTAATAGTATGGCAAGGCAAAATAAAATAAAATAAAGCGTTAAGGATCCGCTGATATCTAATTCTGACTATCTCTCTACCTATGAAAATTTAGAATCACTCATCAATTTACAACTCGTCACTTTAATTTATTGATAATTCCGGTTCGAGTAACTCATAAAATACTATTGTTCCGATAAATATGGTGGATATCATAAAACGATAAGACTCTACAGCGATACACATTTTTTGATTTTTTTCTTTAACATTCACAAATGTAAGGCTTTTTTTGTTCAATAACCATATTTGAAAAACAATCGAAGAATATAGTTTAATGTGACTTGTGAAGTACAGCAATTATTAGGAAACAATCGAGTTAGAGCTGTAGCTATGATATTTGAAAAATTGGTAAACTAACTATGGCCCACAATCAATTATCAAAAATAACATTGTACTATATTATACTGTATATAATTTTATGGAATAGCCCTATTTAATATAATATATACAAAAAAAAGAGGAATAAAGAGAAAAACACGAAAGAGGAGGGAAGGAGAGGAAAACGGAGGCAAAGAGAGGGGAAGGGAAAGAGGAGAGATAGATGAGCAGAGGTAAGCAGAGGAAAGAAAATGGAAAAGAATGAAAAGAGAGAAGAATATTGTAAAGGAAAGAAATTAAAAAAAAAAAAAATTGTATATATTGTAGAATATATGAAGAATATCGTAGCATCTATTTTACTATGGTTATTTCATGAATTTAACTTTGAAATATAGTCATATGACCCAATTTTCCACAAATGTACTACTAACTAGCCAATAAAATAAAGTACAAACAAATCTACAAAATTATGACAACGCGTCCCTTTATATAATACTGTTGACAAGATAACTCGGATACAAATTTCTGGCCTTGTATCACGAAACCCATCTATTCCACAAGACACTAATCTTACATGCGGAAGATGAGGTAAATTGTTTTAGACTAACAATTATGAAATTGGTCAAATGGGAGAGTTGGATTATAATTTCATTTTCAAATTGGAGGAGTGCACGTGGCAGTGGTGAAACCCTAAGAAAAGGAAGCTGCAATAATTTTAGGAAGGAAAGAAAAAAAAAGCTTAGCTCTCTGTTCCGTATGCATGAGCGACCAATCTTTTATTTTCTTTTGACGCTCTCATACATATGTTACATGTCGCTTTCGCTTAAAAGAGAACCTCTTTCTCTCTCGTGCTTATCTTGTAAGCTTTTCTATCACTATTTTCCCTTATTTTTTCCACGTTGAAACTGAAATATGAAAGAACATATACTTTTTTTTTAAACAGGGAAAAAACATACTTGAAATCTCTTTTCAGTACAGAAAATAAGATACCAAACGCTAATGTGTCAATTTAACATCTGAAGTTGAGTTGTAAGGTGACTTGGTGATGTGTTAACTTTTCTATATTTTTTTTATCATTATAGCACCCACAGAAATTGTTTAATTTAATTCAGTATTATGATACGATATTGCGATGGCATCAATACAAACCACTAAAAAAATTGATGATTGATCTATTAAAAGAAAATTAAACATACAAAAGAATGTCTTGTTTAAAGGAGTGATCACGTTCTGAAAAAATGATTGTAGGAAAATTTGAGGCTGACAATAAAAACATACTACTAATGTTCTCGTTATTGTGTGAAAACCGAAAACAATAGTTTAAAAAGCTGCTTATCAGTGCAGTACGCAGATACATATACATATATGACATATGAATGTATGCGTATATACAGATAAAGCACAATCTAAGGAGTTACGTGCAAAGATGAAACACTCTCATTGTAAATAAAATCTCCTTATTTTGGTCATCCATTGTTATCCACTCTTTCCATTTATACATGCCGCCTTCTCCACCTAATATATCCAGCATCCCATGCTCTCTCTCTTCTTTCTCTCTCTCTCTAGGCCTGCCATTATCAGGAGGACCACATGCATGACTATAATGGAAGGACTCGCTGGCTTCTTCTAAGGTTGCTTTCAATTTTTCTTTCTCATAACTAATGAAGAAGACAGCAACATATATCATATCACCATACTTTTGGAGTTTTATTGTGTGAATCATTTTAAGTTGTTTATAGTGAGACTCAAAATTAAAGTTTCAATCTTTGGTTAGTCTTTGAATCCTTTTTTTTTTTCTTACAAAGGTGGGCACTGGTTTTTCTTTTCCCCTGAGTGCTTTCATTATGTGTTATATTATTGACTTGTGTTCCCAGTTTCGTTGGTTACAATCTCAGTCACTCATTATCACTCTCAAAGTACAAAAATCCAACTTTGTTTTTATAAATATATTTTTTTCACTTTGTGATGCGTTTGTCATCTTTTTTTTCTTCTGGTTCTTGAGTTGATAACGAATCATTTTCTATTTATAGCAAAGAGAGTCAATGCTTTTTTAGATTACGGTTCATTTGCGCAATTTCTTTTCATGGAAATGTGTTCTGCAAAATAATGTGTGTCTTCCACTTTTCTTCATGGGAAAACTCAAGACTGACTTCTTCTTCCTTTCATTTTCTTCATACTTCTTTTTGTTTCTGGAGACTAGTTATTTAAATGATAAAAATGATTTTTTTTTTTTATGAATGACAAAATAAAATAAAGTTTTACAAGAAAAATGAATAATGACAACCTCATAAATTCTAGATAAATCGTCACCAAAAGCGAAACAACTTAAAGGATAAATCTAAAACTAAACAATTATGTTCAAAGAAACTATAACAAATTGGTTTCTTGAGACTTGAGAGTTACTTTTGAATCGGTTCAAAAGATTTGATAAAAAAGGAATTTACTATATCAATTATAGTCAGCTCTTGAATATATATATATATATATATATATATATAAAACATTTTAAAGTTGGCTATGTCATATATTAGTTTACATGAACAAAAGAGCAACGATTTTATCACAAATATTTGAATTTTAATGAATATCGAACACATTATGGCGACAAATTTAATGGGGTAGTAACAAGCTGATGTAGAGCTTCTTCGAGGTTTATGGATAGCGAAAAAGGAGATATAGCCTATGTTCCTACTTTCACGCTTAAGCTAAGTAGATTTGACAACACCAAATTTACATATTACATATTGTTTCTTTTTTTAGATATTAAATAATACTACGTCATCTAGAGACATCATATTGATCAGAATCGTACGAGATCTAGAAAAAAGAATGCCTGATATCTTATTAGAAGCCTATGTTCTGTTAATGTGGTAAAATGTGAGTAAATTAGATTTTGTAAATTAAAAGTTATGTTCTGTTCGAAATTCCTCAGAAAGGAATAACTCGAACCGACTTTATGGTGGGGAATGTCATAAAATAAAAGTTTAATTAGTAACTATAGTACTTGGTTACTAAAATCTCAAATGACCAAGAACTTATTGTTCATATCAGTGATCTAGTAATCTAATAGTTTTGTCTAGTTGTGTATATGTTGAATTTCATTATTTGTTAAAAAAATATGTAGATTCTCAAACGAATTGAGTCTGCGTATTAATCTTAAATTTACGGGCATACATAC